ACAAGTTGAAATGATAATACTTTGATGTACTGAGTTAAAGAAAACATAAAATATATTAAATTTAATTTTACCTGTTTCTTTTCTCTGCTTTCAAATGGCTCCCAGATTAATTTAAAATTGTTCTCTGTGGGCAGGTAGAGGTTAATGTGCAAGCCGGGTCAGGTGGCTGCCTCCTTTCTGTTCAGATCTGCTTTTTCAGTCTTTTTCTGGTCAACTAGATGCCCTTGAACCATGGCTTTTTCTTCACTGCCTTTGGTGTGATCTCTGGGGGCCGGACTTTGGTGTGGCAACAGGATCTGCCCCCTGTGTACTGATCTTGGGTCCTGTTTGCCCAGTTACTCACCTCAGCTCTCAGTTTCTGCCTCTGGCCCTAGCCTGCAATCTGTCCATAACATTACCCAGTTCTTTTTGGCCTGTGGTTTGATTTTGCTTTTCTCTGTGTTTGTTGCATATGGGAGTTTGGCAAAAAGAGATGAGGTCTGTTCTTTATGCAGATATTTTGAAGTCACCTACAGGAAAATATTGATAGATGACAAATACATCACAAAATGCCTCCAGTTGATCATTATAATAAACAACTTGTTGATATGTTTCAACTGTCTTCTCCTCTGTTCCTTTGAATTAAGGAAGACTGATTCTCCCATGCAGCAACTATCTGGGTAGAGGGTTGGGCGAGCCAATTGGCCACGCAAGTGTCCTGTCTTCAGCTGTAACTTTCTTGGCCATGTCCATTTAATTCTCTCGCTACAGAAAGGTCAGCTCAGTTCTCTGGACAGAGTTTTCTTCTAGGTAAAGTGATGCTTTCCCAATCATGCTAACTTTAAAAGTCCACATGCTGCCCTGGCCGGTTTGGCTCAGCGGTTAGAGCGTTGGCCTGTGGTCCAGAGAGACCCGGGTTTGGTTAAAAGTCCACATGTTGCCCTGGCCGGTTTGGCTCAGCGGTTAGAGCGTTGGCCTGTGGTCCAGAGAGACCCGGGTTTGGTTAAAAGTCCACATGCTGCCCTGGCCAGTTTGGCTCAGCGGTTAGAGCGTTGGCCTGTGGTCCAGAGAGACCCGGGTTTGGTCCCCGCTAAGGGCATGTACCTCGGTTGCAGTTTGTCCCTGGCCCTGGTAGCCACTCGATGTATCCCTTTCACGTTGATGTTTCTCTGTCTCTCTCTCTTTCTCTCTCTCCCCCCTGCTCTGTCTGAACAAAAAATGGAAAAATGTCCTCGGGTGAGAATTAAAAAAAAAAAAAAAAAAGTCCACATATATGTGAATGGGAAGGAGAATAATTCTAAGTAAACACAGATTGCAAGCACAAATGTCTCTTCCAACTCTTTCTTCTTTCCCTCAGTGCCCTCCTCCTCCTGGGTCATGTTAGCTTCTCTGCTTGTCTGTGGTATGGACATGTATCTATGTCTCTATCTCTTAACTTTTAGGGGGAAAAAACCCCACCCCTCACTTGACTCAGTGACTCTCTCTGGTTGATGTCTTACTTTTCTCTTTCCTCTCACAGTCAGTGTTCTTGGATCGCATGTGGTTTACCGCTTCACTGGTTTCTCTCTTTTCTTCTGTGCCATATATCATCTGCTCGGACACTACAGTGACCCCCAAGATGCTACTTCAGCAATGACTAGTCCATTGGCAAATCCAGGGGTCCCCATTTTTCCTGACTTCACCACCATGACATTCAGCACTCACCACTCCTTCTAATGCTTTTTCCCACCTGTTGCTCCCATTCCCCCAGAAGTTACCCAGCCAGGCAGAACAGTATTCCTGTCAATGCACTGACCCTGAAGAATGCCCGGTAGCCTTGTCTCCTTCCTCTCGTCGCTGGCTATAGTCTCTTTAAAATGGTATGTCCCAACTTCTCCTCTCTCCTCAGACCTTCCATTGGCCACCACTCCTCCCCCCACCCCCACTGGTGACATTCTTTCTCTCTTGCCTGTGGTTACTACAGAGCCCGCACCTGCAGCCACACCACCTTCAACCCCTCCCTTTCAGCTCACAAGCGGAAGTGGCTTCCTAGCTAAAACCCTCCCCTCCTGCCACCTGGGCACCTTTAGGGGAAAGACAGATCATCAGTGATGTGCCTTCAACCTCTTGCACTCCACTACACCCTCCCTGTCAGCATTTAGGATCTTTTCCATGTTGTTGTTGTTGTTTTAATCTTCCTTGCCCTCACTTCTCTTCTTGTTACTGCTACTGCCTTGTCTCCCCTCTTGCATTTTAGCTAAAGTTCTCTAAATCAAGCCCATGGTATCTGCTTCCTCCTCTTGCTTTCCACTCAGGTTTCTGCCTTAAGGCTCTGCAGAGAGCTCCCTGCATGCCCTGAATTCTAAGTACTTGAATTCTAAGTACTTTCTGGGAATGGAGGATTCCCTTAAAGGTGAAGGTGGTGATGGTACTGTCTCTCTCTTTTTGTTCTTTATTAATTTTAAAGAGAGAGGAAGGGAGAGGGAGAGAGAGATACAGCAATTGGCCACCTCCTGCATGCCCCCCACTGGGATTTTGGCCCACAACCTGGGTATATGCCCTGACTGGGAATGGAACTGACGACCTCTTGGGGCATGGGTCAACGCTCAATCACTGAGCCACACTGGTTGGGCAGTACTGTCTCTTTAAGATACCTACAAAGTGCTGGTGGCTTCAGTAAGTTAGCCAAGCTCACCCAGCAGGGGTTTGAAACCAGATAGCTGGGCTCAGAGGCTGTGCTTTTGACCACCATGCCATACTGTACCCCACCCCCAAACTGAACGGTGTTCTCAGCACTCAGCACAGTGCCTTGCACACAGCTGGAAATCAATAAATATGCCTGAATGAATGGACACACATTGCCACCAGATTCTTATTCAACAGGTTCTTAAAAAGTGCATGGGCTTGGATTTATGTCTATCTTTCTGAAAGGAGGTATGCTTTTCTTTATCCTCACCTGAGGACATTTTTTTTTTGCATTTATCTTCAGATAGAGCGGGAAGGAGAGAGGAAGGGAGAGAGAGAGAGAAGCATCGATGTGAGAGAGACACACCCAGTGGTTGCCACCCATACGACCCCAACTGGGGCTGGGGACAAACTGCAACCAAGGTACGTGCCCTTAGCGGGAACTGAACCCGGGACTCTCTGGTCCGTGGGCTGACGCTCTAACCGCTGAGCCAAACCGGCCAGGGCTGAGGTATGCTTTTCATGAGTTTTTCATAGGAGTCTGTGTCCAAAAAAAGTTAAGAACTTGTTGATTCATTCATTTTTCTGTCTTCAGTTTCATTTTCACCACCCTCCTCCCCCTTACATCCTGTACATCGCCATCAGGTGACTACGTTGTTAATGTTTTGTTTTAATTCTGTAACTGATAAAAACACAGGGGCAAATAACTTCCCTCCACCTAAAAAGTGCTGAATGCCTCCCTGGCTGGCTGCATTCAAGATAAATATCATTTTGCCCAAAAGCCAACACTTTCAGTAATCAAGCCTCAGCACATTTTACCAGTACTATCACCCATTTTTCTCCTCTGTTCCAGTCAAACTGGTCTTATAATTGGAAAACATCTGTTCTTAACCCACCTTTCAGTAGTTCATTCAGTAATATATGTATTACATTTCTGATCTAGGCCAGGCACTGTACCTAGGGCTAAGAACACAAAGATAAATACAACACAATTCTTACCCTTGAGACACTATTAGTCCAATTTGGGAGAGAGATGTGAAAACAAAATCCCCAAAATATGATGAGAAACCATTCATGGCAGGTATTCCTTCTTGGAGGTAGGATGGAGCCCAGAGTAAAGGAGGCTTCCTCTTTCTAAGTTAAACATGTCCATATGCTTTACATGTTTCTTTCTTTTTTTTTTTTTAATCCTCACCCGAGGATATTTTTTCCATTTTTTGTACAGATAGAGTGGGAGGGAGAGAGAGGAAGGGAGAGAGAGTGAGAAACATCGACGTGAAGGGACACATCGAGTGGCTGCCACCCGCACAACCAACCAGGGCCGGGGACAAACTGCAACCGAAGTACGTGCCCTTAGCGGGAACCGAACCCGGGTCTCACTGGACCGCAGGCCGACGCTCTAACCGCTGAGCCAAACTGGCCAGGGCTTTACATGTTTCTTTTGCAAGTATGCAGTAATTTTGTAACCAGGAAAAAGTCACATCAGGTGACGATAATAATTAATTCAATTCTGACCACACGAGTTCCAAGTGGGAAAAACCATAACTGTCAAAGAATTAGCAAAATGAATGAGGAAAGAACAATCGACCAATAGGAAAATGGGTGAAAGCTATGAATAGACATTGCCCAGAAGATAAAACATTTATGGCCAATAAATATATGAAGATACGTTCAACCTCATTAATCATCAAGAAGTATAAACTGAGGTCACCATGTGATTCTATTTGATATCTGAGAGGTGAAAATGAAGAAACTTGCCCTGGTCAGTTTGGCTCAGCGGTTAGAGTGTCGGCCCGCAGTCCAGAGAGACCTGGGTTCGGTTCCTGCTAAAGGCATGTACCTTGGTTGCAGTTTGTCCCCGCCCTGTTTGGGGTTGTGTGGGTGGCAACCAGTTGATGTGTCTCTCTCACAAGGATGTTTCTCTCTCTCTCTTCCTCTCTCTCTCCCTGTCGCTCTATGCAAAAATGTCCTCGGGTGAGGATAAAAAAATAAAAGAAAAAAAAAGAAGAAACTTGATAATATCAAGTGTTGACAAGGATGTGGATCAATGGGACCTCATATACAATGTTGCTGGAATTGTAAATTGGTAAAAACCACTTTGGTAAACAGTTTGAAATTATCTTGTAAAGCTGAAAGTTTCCTTAGCCTCTGTCCCAGCAGTTCTACCCCTATGTAAACATGCAAGAGAAATTTTTGCACTTGTGCACCAGTAGGTTTTACACAAAGACTTTTAGTAGCACTTCTGTAATAGCAAAAACCTGCAGTACCCAAATGTTCATTATCAGGAAATTGGTTGTATTACATGGGGTTCCCCAAAAGCAGAGACCAGGACAAGGACTTGGGTGCTGGTTGTTTATTTGGGAAGTGACCTCAGGCAGCAGGAGTGAGGGAGAAAGAAAAAGTGAGGCAGGGGAGGAGGAAAAATCCACGTAGGGGTGTGATTCCATGGAGACCTCTGAGGAGTGTACAAAATGCCTCCCATCTGAAGGATGGGAACCTGGGGCATGTATCCCTTGGCTCATCTTTCCTATTGGTCGAGGGTTAACTCTCTTTATGCTCAGGCTGCCCCTGGGAGAGGGCTGAGAAGGCACCTGTGGCTTTTGAGAAGGCCTTGAGCAGAAATCTGGAGAGGCCCAAGGCCTAGCACTTGTCCGTGACTGGGAGCTCCCATGAAATCAGCCACCACAGATCCCGCTGATTCCTGAGGGCGGCTAAAGGGAAGGGCACAATGCACCAAGAGCTTTGCTGCAGGGGATGAAGTAATATTAGCATTTTCTACACACTGGAAAAGTCTACAGCAGCGACAATCAATAATCTCAACTACATGTAACAAGCCTGAGATAAATCTTAGCACTGTAACGTGAAAAGTGAAAAAGAAATCCCAGGATAGTATGTGAGGAATGATACTCTTTTCATTAAAAAACAAACAAACCCCACACAATTAAAATTAACAATATATGTTTTGAAAATGTGTATACATGTCCATATACACACACATATACTTTTGTATGTATGTAACTACATATACAGAAATGTTTGAAAATTACAAAGCCCCTTTTCTGTGTACTTAAATTCTAGGGAAAAACTGCGAAGGATTATTAAAAGAACACACAAGGAAATCCTGAAAATTAACGAGAAAGGATAAACAACCAATAGAAAAAATGGCAAAAAGATAGGAACAGGTATTTCACCGAAAAAGAAATATATATAGCTAAATATATATAAACACATTCAACCTCAACTTTTTTTTTTTTTTAAAGGAAGGCATTTTAGCTTTAATTCTGTTATAAAGCTAGGGAAATTTTTTTACATAAAATATTAAAAAAAAACATTTTTAAGAGCAAGAAAACCATAAGTACAAGATTAAGCACTGGATGGAGGATATGTCTAAATTGTCAATTCTGGATTTTAGGGTGAAGTAAGAGTAACAAAAGAGGGTTATACATGAATCAATGAATATAGGCTTCTGACCTATAAATTCTGGGTAATCCAATCCTAGACCCTTGAGGTCTAAGGATAAGATTATATGGCATGATAAAGACATTAAGGAGTACCTAGAAGGTAGACTGATAATGCAAAGGAAGAAGCTGGAAGATACTCCCTCATTCCTGGGAAGGTCAGAGACCAAAGAGGTGACAGTTAATTGGCTTAGAAGAATATGGAGTGGATTGCTAAATTGGGGAGGAGGCAGAGGGAGCACATTTCAGGTGGAGAGCGTATGGGCAAAGGTACAGAAATGAGGGACAGTGTGGTGTGATCAACAGACTACAGACAATTAGTGCTGGTAGGAAAGGAGAATGAGAGAGACAGGCAAGCGATGGATGCAGAAGATAAAAGGTTAGACGTTATTCCACATTGTAACTAAATGAGAGCATTGGAGGATTTTAAGCAGGGTGTTGTGATTCATTTCAGGAAGAGTCTCATAGTGGAGTGAGGGACCGTTTGGCGGGTGCTGGAGGCTGGAAGATCAATTAGGACATTATGACCCTCGTCCAGGACAGAAATACTGAAGGCCTAATTTATGCTGGAGCTCCTGTGTGTGTGGGCATGTGTGGTCTAAATCAAGGGATTTTAAAGTACAATGGGCATTTTATTTCCCTGTTTTCCTGTGCTTTTCTTTATAGCATTTATCACTCCTGACATATTTATTTATCTGTGGTCTGTTTTCCCCCACCAGCAAGTAAACTCCAGGAGAAAAGGGATGTTCATTCTATTCCCTCAATCCCTAGGGAACGTGATAGGTACTAAATAATTTTTTGTTCAAGGCAGGAAGTTTAGCTAGAAAGGAGAAATATATGGTAATATCCAAATAGGGGAAGAATTTCTAATGTGCCGGTCTAATGGAGCTTATACATTATCTCCCATGTTCTCTTCCAAGCTGATTCTAGCTTAGTGCTTTATCAAAATATGCTTCCTCTTCTGGCCCTAGTCCTTATCTCAGAGTTAACAATCTTTCATGTCCTACCTGCTATCAGCTATCCTACCTGACCTCTAGCTATCTCCACTTTGTATCTCTAGAAACCCTGGTTTTCCAGGTTCCCTTAAGGTCCTGGTCACATGCTTAGACAGTTCTCACATTGTTATAGGATCACATACCTGCTAGATAATTCTGCCTTTGTTCCTCTAGATCCACTCTCCACCCTTCTCCAGGGCTGCCCTTGAGGGACAGCATCATGTGGGCTCACTTGCCCTAAGTCTTCCTCTTGGGTTCAGCCACTGGGAGGTACCACAGATCTGAGGGCAAGAGAGAGAAATGTGGGGCTGTATTCCTCTAAGTTGCTGTTGGCCCTCCCTCTCCTTCAATTATTTCTCTCACTAAACACCAGTTTCATCTCTTTGTCCCTCCAGGCCTATGGCTAATAATGGTTTTTCAGCAGATGCTAGCCTTGGGGTGCTTCACTATCCCTTGATGATGTCCCTCATTCCTGCTCACAACTTTGTATGCTGTCAATTCATTAACTCTCCTCAGTTACATATTTTGAGCCAGCTATCTGTGTACTCTGATGCTGATCTTGGCTGATACAAAAGCGAAAAGGCAGATTATCTTTTTTTTTTTTTTTTAATTGAGATGAGTCACAAAATTCACTCTTTTATTTTATTTTATTTCATTCATTTATTTATTTAAATCCTCACCCAAGGATATTTATCATTTATCTTCAGTTAGAGTGGGAGGGAGAGAGGAAGGGAGGGAAAGAGAGAGAGAAACAACAATGTGTGAGAGAGGCACATCGATTGGTTGCCTCCCTCACAAACCCAACCAGGACTGGGGACCAAACTGCAACTGAGGCAGGTGCCCCTGACTGGAATCAAACCCATGAGTCTCTGGTCCGAGGGCCGACGTCCTAACTGCTGAGCTGTGCTGGCCAGGGCACACTTTTTAAAAAAAAATATTATTATTATTTTTTTTTATCCTCACCCGAGGACATTTTTCCATTTTTTGTTCAGATAGAGCAGGAGGGAGAGAGAGGAAGAGAGAGAGAGAGAAACATCGACGTGAAGGGACACATCGAGTGGCTGCCACTCGCACGACCAACCAGGGCTGGGGACAAACTGCAACTGAGGTCCGTGCCCTTAGCCGAACCTAACCCGGGTCTCTCTGTACCGCAGGCTGACACTCCAACCGCTGAGCCAAACCGGCTAGGGCTACAAAAATATTTTTTTGCCTTGCTGGTTGACCCGTGCACCATGAGGTCATGGGTTTGATTCCCAGTAAGGGCACATGCCCAAGTTTCGGGCCTGATCCCCAGTGGGGGGCATGCAGGAGGCAGCCAGTTGATGTTCTCTGTCATGGATGTTTCTATTTCCCTCTCCCTCTCCCTCTCAACCAGAGTCACACTAGCTTAGCCAAAATTCACTCTTTTGAAGTGTGGAATTCAGTGGTTCTTAGTAAAGTTGAGCAAATTGTATATCTTTGGTTAATTTAATATATAATTAAATGTTTTCCAAGATACCAGTTGTCTGAGTACTCAGTGGTAAGTTATACAATGTTGCACATCATAAGTTAGTTAACCATTCATACATTTCAAACTCACTATCACAAATAAGGCTGTTGTAAATATTATGCATGCAGCCATTCTCTTTTGGGGAGGATTATTTCTCAAGGGAAATAGGAGTGATACTGATGAGTCAAAAGGGAGTCACATCTCTGTTAAGGCTCTTCAGAAGTACTCTCACATTGCTTTAAAAAAACCAACAAATTAAAACATTTATTGATTTTTTTTTTTTGAGAGATTTGTTGCTCCGCTTATTTATGTACTCACTGGCTGATTCTTGTACATGACCACGTGCCCTGACTGGAGAATGAGCCCATAACCTTGGCATATGGGGATGATGCTCTAACCAACTGAGCGACCCAGCCAGAACTCACATTGTTTTTTATTTAATTATTTATTTTTATCTTTATTGTTGTATTACATATGTTCCCCCTATTTCCCCCATTGATCCCCTCCTTCTGGCTCCCATCACTCTCCTGCCTTCCCCACACTATTGTCTGTGTCCATTGGTTATGAATATATGCATGTAAGTTCTTTGGTTTGTCTTCCAACCTTCCTGCCCCGCCCCCCACCGCCACACACCCCTTCCGTCTGAGGTTTGTCAGTCTGCTTCCAGCTTCCATGTCTCTGGATCTATTTTGATCATCAGCTTATTTTGTTCATTATATTCCATAAATAAGTGAGATCAGGTGGTACTTGTTTTTCTCTGATTGGCTTATCTTGCTTAGCATACTACTCTCCATCACGTTGCTTTTAAAAGGATTATATCAATTCACGTGCCACAGATTTCTCTGAATGTATCAATTGCATCATCTCAGGAGCACTGGAGAGTACATGAGATATATATATTTTGTTAATGTAGTACATGGTATTACCACTTGAACTTCTTTGATTGCCATACCAATCCTAAGCCATTTAGAGCCATTTTTAGCTAAATGGTAATGAAGGGGCAGTGATTTTGAAGGGATGGGTTAGAGAGAAGGTAAAGGGATTTGCTCTTCAATATTCCTCCTTCTCCATCCAGCCTGTTCATCCTATTTGCATATCAGTTTCTTTCTCTTCAATGAGCTATGCATCTTCAGGGCCTAGCATAGTGTTTGGCAGTCCTGAGTATCAATAAACATTTAGAACATCGTGGAAGAAGAATGTTAAAATATATATACACAGAGTTGGTCATAACAGTCTATGTGTGTTAATGGTTCTCCTTTTAATGGACTCTCTGGAATCAACACTTTCCATTCCCTGAGAAATAACATATTGACTAACCACCCATGACCTGCTGAATGCTTTGGAGTAGTGGTTCATCTTTGGAAAACTACACACTTCTTTCTGCAAATTGAGTTAGATGGCTAACAAGAGTCCATTGTGTTTGGTTCCAAACCTGCTTATGACAACTGTGTGCCAGAATATAATTAAATTTACATATACTGATGAAATGTAAGCACGAAAAGAAAGAGTTGTTTCTGTGAAATGTCAGTTGAATGCTTTGGAAATATTAGCCAAAGACTAGTTGAAAATTACTATAAAAACAGATGTGGGTGAGATGATTACAAAGTGTTTTTTTTTTCCAATCCTAATCCGAGGATATTTTTTCCATTTACCTTCAGATAGAGTGGGAGGGAGGGGGAGGTAGAGAGAGAAACATTGATGTCAGAGAGACACATCGAATGGTTGCCTCCTGCACAACCCTGAGCAGGGTCGGGGACGAACCACAACCAAGGTACATGCTCTTGACCGGAATCAAACCTGAGACTCATTGGTCTGAGGGTGGACGTTCTAACTGCTGAGCCAAACTGGCTAGGGCAAGGATTTCTATAAAAAAAAAATTTTTTTTTAATCTTCACTCGAGGATACTTTTTCCATTGATTTTTAGATAGAGGGAAGGGAAGAGAGAAAGAGAGAGAAAAAGATGGATGTGAGAAAGACGCATCAATTGGTTGCCTCCCAACCAGGGTCAGTGATTGAATCTGCAACCCAGATAGATGCCCTTGACTGGGAATTGAAACGGCGACCCTTTGGTCCAAGGGCTGGTGTTCTAACCACTGAGAAATCCCAAACCAGCCAGGGTGGATTTTTTTTTTTTTTTTTAAGAAGGAGCCTCAACCTATGCTTTGCAAGAAGCTTTGAATCCTCAGTCAACTGTAAAGAAACAACTTGGAAAGCATAGAAAATACATCATGGGTATGATTTAGGTAGCAGAGGGCTCAAGAATTCTAATCAGCACTCTTGCTCAAAGTAAAGGTTTGGCCTCACATAGAAAAATTGGCAAGTGGGTTTTCCTAATAGAGTTTAAGTGAAAATGAAATGGTAAGTTGTGTATACATCATTTAAAAAAATTATTCACACCCTGGCCAGTTTGACTCAGCGGTTAGAGCGTTGGCCTGTGGTCCTGAGAGACCTGGGTTCAGTTCCCGCTAAGGGCAAGTAACTCTAAGGGCACGTACCTCGGTTGCAGTTTGTCCCCGGCCCTGGTTGGTTGTGCGGGTGGCAGCCACTCGATGTGTCCCTTTCACGTCGACGTTTCTCTCTCTCTCTCTCTGTTCCTCTCTCTCCCTCCCACTCTACCTGAACAAAAAATGGAAAAATGTCCTTGGGTGAGGATGATAAAAAAAAAAAAAAAAATTATTCACTGCTTTAATATACCTTTTAAGCTAACTGACCCAGCCCTGGCTGGTTTGGCCTAGCGGCTGGAACATCAGTCTGCGGACCAGAGAGTCCCGGGTTCGGTTCCTGCTAGGAACACATACAAAAAAAAAAAAAAAGCTAACTGACCTACTTTTCAGCCAGATCCAGTTAATTTGGGCAGAGATAAATCGTTAATCACTAATCCCTTTGTTTTCATAGGAGTCTGCCTGCCCCCAGAGAGAGTGCAATCTTCTTTAACCTGACATAGTTAAAGTTGCTAGACCTCTGCAAGGGAGAGGCTGGAGCTAATTTTAATTTAGGGAACATTAAAAAGCCTATCAGGTTCTGTCAGTGTGGCTCAGTGGTTGAGTGTTGACCCACGCACCAAGAGGTTGCCAGTTAGATTCCAGGCTAGGACACATGACCAGGTTGTGGACCTGATCCCCAGTGGGGGACATGCAGGAGGTGGCCAATCAATGTTCTCTCTCATCGATGTTTCCATCTCTCTCTCCTTCTCCCTTCCTCTTTCTCTAACATCAATAAAGGGGGAAAAAAAGCCTATCCATTACCATGCAAGCCACATTCTTCAGTTCAGCTTTATACGTAATAAAGTTGACATTCTCATCTTTCCATTGGTTCCAAACTTATAAGAAAGGGATGGTACTCAATGTCCCTGTAATACTCCAACAGTGGTGGATAAGATGGTCTCTATGTACTGACACAGTTGAGACATATTATTTTCCCTTTTATTTTAGTCCATGATTCTATTCATTTAAATGAAAAGTTGTCTCTGGTTTGCAAGTGGTAGTCTAACCTTGTACCAAGTCCAATCTGTATCTCAACCTAGACAAAGAAGAAAATATTATGGCTCCTGGCAAATATTGATATCAGGAAGTATTTACTGAGGGGGGAAGAGGAACCCAAACCGGCTCCTGCCAATTCTTCTATTCTCTCCCCAACCACATCCTGAGAGTCTTACTTGTCCTGATTTCTGGAACAGGTAAACATGGGAAACTTAAGATCACAGCCTGTGTGGCTATTTAAATGAGAACTGCAAACATAGCTGGGAACAGTCTAGTCTCTTTCCAATGTGCTTTAAGGCATTTTGTAACCCTATAGTGGGTCATAAAATCAATGCAGTCGATCCTGACAAGTATTTAAAAAGAAATAAAATTAATAAAATTGAAAATATCAGCATATAATGGGTATATACATCTCAAAACAAAAATGTACATTTCAAGTAAATGTGGTTTATTGTATGTCAACTATACCTCAACAAAGTAGTGAAAACATGCAGATATCCTTCTTAAAATAAAGATGAGCCCTGGCCGGTTTGGTTCAGCAGCTGGAGCGTCAGCCTGCGGCCCAGAGAGTCCCGGGTTCGGTTCCCGCAAGGGGCATGTACCAAAAAAGTAAATAAATAAATAAGATGAACTTGAAGTAGAAAAACAAAACAAAACATTAGCATGCATTGCATAAAATAAGGGTAATATTTCAGGAAACTTCTTTCTCAAAGGTATGTGTATCTGTGCACATGCATGTGTACACTCTAGGTTGAGAATTGGAATGTATTTCTTCTTATGGAGGGTCACAGTTAAAAAAGCTTGCAGAAAATATTATTTAGCTATCAGAAAGGACATTTTGTCATTTTCAACAACATGTATGGATCTTGAGGGTGTTATGCTAAGTGAAATAAGTCAGACAGAGCAAGACAAACAGTGTATGATCTCACTTGTATATGGACTCTTAAAAAAGCCAAACTCATAGGAAGTTATAAAGAAAACAAAGTTTGTAAAGCACTGGTTTAAAGTGCACAGTTCTTCCTTTCATTTTTGCTCTTTGCTAATTTGCTCTGAAACTGCTGCCTTTAGAATAAAACTTGTAATTAACAACCAGAAGGGCCAATCCTCACTCTGTAAACAGCTGGGATACAAAAACTATTGCTCCCACCTCATTGCTCTGAGTCAATCGAATGTCCAAATATCATTAAGATAGAAGGAAGGAATGAAATCTAGAACCTCCTGAAGTAAGAGTATAGCAACATAGTTCCTGAAAGACTGAGTTTTTCTTGAAATGGAAAATTGGGGAGAGTGATAATTAGGAGAAATGTACGTTCCTCTACTGGAGATACTTTAGATATGCTGGTTTTCTACTTTAAGTGGAGTGCTAGAGGGGTTTGACCCCATTGTACTTGTTTTAAAGGACAGTAACCCCAGCAGGCCTATGGATGACTTGGGGGTGGGGTCGCCCGGGCAGCAGATCCATGGAAACATGCAGGTCTCCCCACTCCAAGATAAGTCTATCTTTACGCATCCTTTAAATCTCGGAGGACGTTGCCTTTTCCCATTCCTATCTGTGGCACCCCGAATTATCCCATCTCTCCCCTCTCATTCTCCCCTCTCATCTCCTGAATTTGAGAACTCCTCCAATGGAAGCAAAACAAAACAACTGTCTCTTTTACTGTCACTACCCCTTGAGCTGCAGGCCTACTCTCTCTTCTCTCTCTCTCTCTCTCCTCTCGCTCGCTCCCTAACTTCTGGAAAGAATCACCCCAGTTACTGCCTTCATGGCTTCAGCAGCACGCACTCCTTACCCAGGTCCCCGACTCAGCGCAGGGGCGGACACTCGGCTGCGCCCTCCTGCCAGCCGGCATCTCCTCCCTGCTCCGCGGCCGGGGCTCGCTGCCGGACTCCAGGGCTTCACCCCGCGCTCCCGCACCCCGACCTGGCCGCCACCTCGCTGCCGCGCGTTCCCAGGTGCGTCGGGTTCTGGAACGCCCTGCTGGTCACCTCGCGCGGTCATCGCTTCCCGGAACTCAGACGCGTCCCGGGGCGCCCTTGGGCGGCCCCCGCCGCCGTCCGTCCGCGGCCCGTCCCATGGTTACGGCGGAGGCCCGTCCGCGCGCCCTGCACCGCGAGGCCCGAAGTCCCCCAGGGCCCTGCTTCCCGTCGCCGCCGCGGGCAGCGGGGCCCACCGCGTCCGGGCTCCAGGCGCGCGCTGGGGCGACCCCGCGGCGCGGGAGCTCCCAGCCCCCTAGTGGGCGGCCTCGGCCCCACCGAAGGCCCTGAGGCCTGCCCGGCGGGCGCGTCGCAGTCGAGGCCCGGGTCGCGGGGAGCCGCCGTGCGGGTCCGGAGGGGGCCGTGGGCCGGCGTCCCGGAGCCCAGCCCGGCGCGTCGTCGTGGGGCCCGCGCCGCGCAGCCGGACCCGGGCGGAGAGGGAGGCGGGAGGCGGGAGGCGGGAGGCGGAGGCCGGGCCGCGCGGGGCAGCCCCGCCGCCGCACCGCCCTGGGCCGGTGCCCAGGTCCGAGTCGCCTTCCGCCCGCCGCCCCGCCCGCGGCCCCAGCCGGGTCCCGCCGCCAGCCGGGCTCCCGCCCCCGCTCCGCCCCCGGAGCCGCAGCCCCGCCCGCCACCGCCGTCGCCATGTTGTGGCTCCCGCAGCCGGCGCCGGGGACGCGCGCGGCCGAGCCCGGGGCCTGCCGCCGCCGCCGCCGCCAGGTAAGCGCCCCCCGCGGGCCGGGGCGGGCGGGGCCGGGTCCGGGGCCGCCGCCGAGGCCGCCCGAGCGCGGGTCGCGGCTGAGCCGGGTCGGGGCGAGCGCGCGCCCGCGCCGCGGCCCGGCCCTGCAGCCTGGCGGACCCTGCCCGCCGCCCCAGGCGGAGCCGCTTCCCCGACCGCCGCCCGGCGGGCCCGGCCGCCTCCCCACCCCGCCCCGCGCCCCGCCGCCGCCCGGCCGGGCCCGCTGCTGTCCGCCCCGCGCGGGACACGGGCCGCCTCGGCGACAGCCCGTGGCCCCCGTCCGGGCACCGTTAACGGGGCACTTTCCCCGCTGGGACGCCCTGTCAGCCCGCCGTCCCCGCCGCCCGAGGAGCTGGTGCCGTCAGGAGGCAGACACTGGCGGAGCGACCCTTTCGGGCGCCCCTCGGTCCCTCCCCCCCTCCGCCCAAGTTCTGACCCGGGGGAGGATTCCTCGCGAGCGGACAGGTACCCCTGCCCCGGGGCCGGGGGTCCGCAGGGGGACCAGGCCTGTTGGTCGGGGTGGAACTCGTCCCTCTGCAGAGGCTCTTCCTGCCAACCTGGGGGGAAGCTCAATGTGACCCGAGGGAGGACAGAGGAGTGTCTGCCGGACAGATGGCCTCCTGGCCGTGGGTCAGCGCGCGCGCGGGGGAGGGGTCCGTCCGACCTTAGGTATGCCTGTTTCTGGGAACCCCGGGCTCGTGGGAGCTGCCCAGGAATTTTTTTACTTCTTATTTTTATTTTTGGAGTAGGCCAGAGGTGGCATTAAAAGTCCTGGATTGCGAGAATCCCACAGGCGCATCCAGGGAAGCATGTTTGGCACCCAGGACTCCTAGCATAGGACGCACGGCAGGAGAGTGGGACTCGGGGCAAGATGGTGCTTGGCCGAGGACTGGCCCACTCAGCTCTGTGTTCACACAGGACCTGTACCGAGCAGCTGCTGGTGTGTACAGTGTGGGTGAGCATACAGGATGTGGACAGACAGATGCTTGGCCTGGGAGGTGCTTGGTAGGGTCTCAGGGGTCTGTTTCCTCAAACTCGAAGATTCATTACACAGTGAAAGAGGAAGTACGGTGCGTGAACACATATTTGGACCCTTTTCCAATTTTTCCAGTTGGCCGTGGCTTTGATTCATTGAGTCCGTTTTTACTGAGCACTTATTATGTGCCAGGCGCTGGTCTCGGTGTTGGGAATACTGCGGTAAACCAGAAAGGCGTGTTTTAGCTTGAGCTCCTAGTCTAGAGGGGAGGCTCGGTAATAAGTAATCTTGAAATTACATTCAACAATACGTATTTATTAAGAAGCCTGCGCCAGGCATTGTTTTAGATGCTGTGAAGAAAGCAAGCAAAAATAACCTCCCTGGTGGAACTTTCATTTTCATAAGGGGAAAGACAATATGGTAAAATGTGTAATGAAATATGTAGTCTGTTACAAAGTGCTAAGGAGAAAAAGAAAATAGGGAAGGAGGATATGAGATATCTGTTGGGGGTTGAATTTACATTTGAGTTGCCTGGGAAGGCCTCCCAAGAAGGTGCCTTTTGAATAAAACTTTGAAGGAAGGGGCAAACTAATCATTTCAAAATGTGATGTGTCCAGGAAGGAAAGATGAAGAGGGTGGTGAGAAAGTGTAATGGGCCTTGATTTGGGTTGGGGGCTCAGGGAAGGAAGTGACGTTTAGGCTGAGACCCGAAGGAGGTTTTAGGAGTTAACCATGTGTGGAGCAGCACAGAGCTTGGCAAGTTGGAGGAAGTGAAAGAGGCCTGTGTGACTGGAGGGGGAAAGGGAGAGGGGAGATAAATCTGTGGAGAGGTGGGTCGGGTCACAGGGGGCCTAGGGACAGGCCTTAGTTTGGATTGTATCCCCAGTGTTATTAGGAACCTTTGAAGGGTTTTAAGTATGTGACATGACATTTACATTTTAAAAGATCTCTGGCATCTGTATGGGGAATGCACTTTGAGATAAGCATGTAAGGCAAGGCTTTCGATGTGATGTTGAGTGGCCGACTTGGAAAAGTCTCAAGCACTCTCTGGGAGATCCTTTTCCTCAGTGAGTCTGTTTTGCCCGTTTTTAGGAAGGAAAGGGAACATGAATTAGCATTTATGGAGCACATGCTAGGTGGGTCAATCAATTTTAGAGACTTTTGAATACATTATCATATTTAATCTAATCATCTCTACACCCTAAGAGGAAGGGGTTGTCTTGTCCCTTGACAGATACAAACCCAGAGGGGATAGAAAACAAGCCCAGAGGGGACAGACAACTTATCTAAAGCCACCTTTGTAACACAATCTGCATTCAAACCCAGGTCTGCTTGAGTCCAGAGCCCAGTGAGCTCTGGAGCTAGATTACTCAAATTGGCATCTTGCTTCTTCAGCTTGCTAACTGAATGATCTTGAGTTATTTAACCTCTCTGTGCCTCAGTTTCCTTTTTGGGAAAAGTTCATGCTTTTCCCAGATTGCCTAAAGATAAAAAGGAGCTACCTCACAAGGTTGTCATGCGGATCACATTAAGTAAGCTATGTAAACACTGTAATGCTTAGCTCAAATATTAGTTGCTATTATTATTTAAACATTTTAAACATCCATGCTGCCTCTCAGCATATTTTGGTCATTTTAAATGATATTCCGTATGTAGATAATTAAATTTTTGAATTTTATAAGACTTTTGTTCCTTCCTTTTTCTTTAAATAACTTAATGCCATGTTCCATGTGATCAATCATTCAACATTGATCTCCCATTTCATTGGTGACACTGTGCTAGGACTTATGGATACAAAGTGACTTCATTGCCTGAAAAAGCACAGGGTATCCAGGGGAGGTCAGATATTTAAAAAGATGGACTACAATGTACTTACATTCTCTAATGCACCTGTAATTAGAGACCTGTTGGGAGTAGTGAGAACTAAAGGCCTAGGGAAGTAGGGAAGGCTTCAGGGAGGAGGTGACTTTAGAACTGGCTTTGGAGGAAGAATAGGAATTTTACAGGCAAGATCGAAAAAAGGGCATTCTAGGTAGAGAGAACCATGTGTAAAAACATGGCGTCATGAGAGGCCTGGTTTGCCTGGCGACGAGGCTGGAAAGCTGTGAAAGGCAGGTCAAGGAGTTTGGATTTTAGCCCTGGCCGATTTGGCTCAACAGTTAGAGTGTCAGCCGTGGACTAGAGAGTCCCGGGTTCGGTTCCTACTAAGGGCACGTACTTTGGTTGCAGTTTGTCCCTGACCCCAACTGGGGTCGTGTGGGTGGCAACCACTCAATGTGTCTCTCTCACATCGATGTTTCTCTCTCTTTCTCCCTCTTTCCCTCCTGCTCTATCTGAAGACGAATGCAAGAAAAGTTTGGATTTTATTCTGTAAACCATGGGGAGTTATCAGGGAGTATTAGACACACCAGATACTTACAGTGATGGGTGTTGCAGTTAAAGAGTAGAGACAAATGTCATACTGGAAGTGGCTTTATATTGGTGGGATCACTATGTGTCAGGGTCTGGGTCTCAGTTTTGTGGACCCAAATTTAGTTTTTGTAGGGCATTCAGAGCTGATTGGGTCCTGGGAGACTGACTTACTAATCAAACTTGGAAGAAACTGATGCATAAACTCAGGGTATTAACTGGCCATGAGAAATGAAACTGCAGAATGACAGATGTTTTTGTCCTCTGGACATTGCCTCCCCACCCCCACCCATTTCAGACCAGGGCTGGGACATGCTAACTCTTGCTCCTCAATTCCTGTTTGTTTTTCTCAGGCTCCATGAAAACTAACCCTTTCTGTTAACATAGTTTTCTCTCAAGCTCTGTATACTGTAGTCAACAATGTTTATTAATTGGTAGAATGAATGATTCTGTATCGGTTGGGTGGGATGCTATGTTTATGAAACTTAAGGAAGACTAACTTTTTTGGAAATAAAATTGGAAAAACGGGTGCCCTTGCATTGGGTTCCCAGAGGAGGTTTGTAGATATTTATTTACTTATTTATTTTATTGAATGTAATTGGGGTGACATTGGTTAATAAAATTGTATGGTTTTCAGGTGTACAATGATATAGTGCATCATCTGTATATTGTATTGTGTGTTCACCACCCCAAGTGAGGTTTGTGTATTCTAAGTGGCATGGGTAATTTAGCTGGGGACATGGGGTTGTGACAGATGCATTGAAAATTGTTCTGGAAGCAGAGATCTGTGAACTCATGGAGGGGGTGGGGAGCATTTGATTGCACTTGAAGGAGAGACTGATTTAGAACCTTCATCTTCCACACACACTGGAGACAGAAAAGAAAGTAGCAGTTCCTGCCCTCCACTCATCCTGGTGGCAGCGAGCTTTCCATTGGATTGCAGTCCTCACGAGGTGTGAGTCTCTTACCTTCTTTCTGCT